GGTAAAAAACTGAAATGTTTGTTTTCTCCCTGGATCCTGGCTTTGGTGAGCTGATATCTCTTCGGGATGCATTTCTGACCTCTACCCACCTTGTGTGAACATTTGACCAAATTTCGTGAAGTTGGATTTTTGGGCCAAAAATCAGTATTTTTGATGACCGCGGATATGGAAAACTTTTCAGATTTTGTCCATGTTGGCTTAAAAACTGAAATTTTTCTTTTCTGCCAGTATTCTGACTTTGGTGAGCTGATATCTCTTGGGGATGTATTTCTGGCCTCTACCCACCTTGTGTGAACATTTGACCAATTTTCGTGAAGTTGGATTTTGGGGCCAAAAATCAGTATTTTTGATGACCGCGGATATGGAAAACTTTTCAGATTTTGGCCGTTTTGGGTAAAAAACTGAAATGTTTGTTTTCTCCCTGGATCCTGGCTTTGGTGAGCTGATATCTCTTCGGGAAGCATTTCTGACCTCTACCCACCTTGTGTGAACATTTGACCAAATTTCGTGAAGTTGGATTTTTGGGCCAAAAATCAGTATTTTTGATGACCGCGGATATGGAAAACTTTTCAGATTTTGGCCATGTTGGCTTAAAAACTGAAATTTTTCTTTTCTGCCTGTATTCTGACTTTGGTGAGCTGATATATCTTGGGATGTATTTCTGGCCTCTACCCACCTTGTGTGAACATTTGACAAATTTCGTGAAGTTGGATTTTGGGGCCAAAAATCAGTATTTTTGATGACCGCGGATATGGAAAACTTTTCAGATTTTGGCCATGTTGGCTTAAAAACTGAAATGTTTGTTTTCTGCCTGGATCCTGACTTTGGTGAGCTGATATCTCTTGGGATGTATTTCTGGCCTCTACCCACCTTGTGTGAACATTTGACCAAATTTTGTGAAGTTGGATTTTTGGGCCAAAAATCAGTATTTTTGATGACCGCGGATATGGAAAACTTTTCAGATTTTGGCCATGTTTGGCTCAAAAACTGAAATTTTCCTTTTCTGCCTGGATCCTGACTTTGGTGAGCTGATATCTCTTGGGGATGTATTTCTGGCCTCTACCCACCTTGTGTGAACATTTGAACAAATTTCGTGAAGTTGGATTTTGGGGCCAAAAATCAGTATTTTTGATGACCGCGGATATGGAAAACTTTTCAGAATTTGGCCATTTTGGGTATAAACTGAAATGTTTGTTTTTCTATCTGGATCCTGACTTTGGTGAGCTGATATCTCTTGGGGATGTATTTCTGGCCTCTACCCACCTTGTGTGAACATTTGATCAAATTTCGTGAAGTTGGATTTTTGGGGCCAAAAATCAGTATTTTTGATGACCGCGGATATGGAAAACTTTTCAGATTTTGGCCATGTTGGCTCAAAAACTGAAATTTTGTTTTCTGCCTGGATCCTGACTTTGGTGAGCTGATATCTCTTGGGGATGTATTTTCTGGCCTCTACCCACCTTGTGTGAACATTTGAACAAATTTCGTGAAGTTGGATTTTGGGGCCAAAAATCAGTATTTTTGATGACCGCGGATATGGAAAACTTTTCAGATTTTGGCCATGTTGGCTCAAAAACTGAAATTTTCCTTTTCTGCCTGGATCCTGACTTTGGTGAGCTGATATCTCTTGGGGATGTATTTCTGGCCTCTACCCACCTTGTGTGAACATTTGACCAATTTTCGTGAAGTTGGATTTTGGGGCCAAAAATCAGTATTTTTGATGACCGCGGATATGGAAAACTTTTCAGATTTTGGCCATTTTGGCTATAAAACTGAAATGTTTGTTTTCTGCCTGGATCCTGACTTTGGTGAGCTGATATCTCTTGGGGATGTATTTCTGGCCTCTACCCACCTTGTGTGAACATTTGACCAAATTTCGTGAAGTTGGATTTTGGGGCCAAAAATCAGTATTTTTGATGACCGCGGATATGGAAAACTTTTCAGATTTTGGCCATTTTGGGTAAAAAACTGAAATGTTTTGTTTTCTCCCTGGATCCTGACTTTGGTGAGCTGATATCTCTTGGGGATGTATTTCTGGCCTCTACCCACCTTGTGTGAACATTTGACCAAATTTCGTGAAGTTGGATTTTGGGGCAAAAATCAGTATTTTTGATGACCGCGGATATGGAAAACTTTTCAGATTTTGGCCATGTTGGCTTAAAAACTGAAATTTTTCTTTTCTGCCTGGATCCTGACTTTGGTGAGTTGATATCTCTTGGGATGTATTTCTGGCCTCTACCCACCTTGTGTGAACATTTGACCAAATTTCGTGAAGTTGGATTTTGGGGCCAAAAATCAGTATTTTTGATGACCGCGGATATGGAAAACTTTTCAGATTTGGCCATGTTGGCTCAAAAACTGAAATTTTTGTTTTCTCCCTGGATCCTGACTTTGGTGAGCTGATATCTCTTGGGATGTATTTCTGGCCTCTACCCACCTTGTGTGAACATTTGACCATTTTCGTGAAGTTGGATTTTGGGGCCAAAATCAGTATTTTTGATGACCGCGGATATGGAAAACTTTTCAGATTTTGGCCATTTTGGGTAAAAACTGAAATGTTTGTTTTCTCCCTGGATCCTGACTTTGGTGAGCTGATATCTCTTGGGGATGTATTTCTGACCTCTACCCACCTTGTGTGAACATTTGCCAAATTTCGTGAAGTTGGATTTTTGGGCCAAAATCAGTATTTTTGATGACCGCGGATATGGAAAACTTTTCAGATTTTGGCCATGTTGGCTTAAAAACTGAAATTTTTGTTTTCTGCCTGGATCCTGACTTTGGTGAGCTGATATCTCTTGGGGATGTATTTCTGGCCTCTACCCACCTTGTGTGAACATTTGACCAAATTTCGTGAAGTTGGATTTTTTGGCAAAAATCAGTATTTTTGATGACCGCGGATATGGAAAACTTTTCAGATTTTGGCCATGTTGGCTTAAAAACTGAAATGTTTGTTTTCTGCCTGGATCCTGACTTTGGTGAGCTGATATCTCTTGTGGATGTATTTCTGGCCTCTACCCACCTTGTGTGAACATTTGATCAAATTTTGTGAAGTTGGATTTTTTGGGGCAAAAATCAGTATTTTTGATGACCGCGGATATGGAAAACTTTTCAGATTTTGGCAATGTTGGCTCAAAAACTGAAATTTTCCTTTTCTGCCTGGATCCTGACTTTGGTGAGCTGATATCTCTTGGGGATGTATTTCTGGCCTCTACCCACCTTGTGTGAACATTTGACCAAATTTCGTGAAGTTGGATTTTGGGGCCAAAAATCAGTATTTTTGATGACCGCGGATATGGAAAACTTTTCAGATTTTGGCCATTTTGGGTTAAAACTGAAATTTTTGTTTTCTGCCTGGATCCTGACTTTGGTGAGCTGATATCTCTTGGGATGTATTTCTGGCCTCTACCCACCTTGTGTGAACATTTGACCAAATTTCGTGAAGTTGGATTTTGGGGCAAAAATCAGTATTTTTGATGACCGCGGATATGGAAAACTTTTCAGATTTTGGCCATGTTGGCTAAAAAACTGAAATTTTTCTTTTCTGCCTGGATCCTGACTTTGGTGAGCTGATATCTCTTGGGGATGTATTTCTGGCCTCTACCCACCTTGTGTGAACATTTGACCAAATTTCGTGAAGTTGGATTTGGGGCCAAAAATCAGTATTTTTGATGACCGCGGATATGGAAAACTTTTCAGATTTTGGCCATTTTGGGTAAAAAACTGAAATTTTTTTTTCTCCCTGGATCCTGACTTTGGTGAGCTGATATCTCTTGGGGATGTATTTCTGGCCTCTACCCACCTTGTGTGAACATTTGATCAAATTTCGTGAAGTTGGATTTTGGGGCCAAAAATCAGTATTTTTGATGACCGCGGATATGGAAAACTTTTCAGATTTTGGCCATTTGGGGTAAAAACTGAAATGTTTTGTTTTCTCCCTGGATCCTGACTTTGGTGAGCTGAATCTCTTGGGGATGTATTTCTGGCCTCTACCCACCTTGTGTGAACATTTGACAAATTTCGTGAAGTTGGATTTTGGGGCAAAAATCAGTATTTTTGATGACCGCGGATATGGAAAACTTTTCAGATTTTGGCCATGTTGGCTTAAAAACTGAAAT